GTGGAGCAAGGGGTGGGATGGGACAGGGGCTGGTCCTGCAGGGTGCCCGTGGTGGCTGGCACCAGCCTGTGGGCTCACAGAATCACAGAGTTGTTCAGGTTGGAGAAGAACTGTAAGATCATCGAGTCCAACCCTACACTTGGCACTGCCAGGGCCACCACTAAAGCGTGTCCCCAAGTGGCACATCTGCATGTCTTTTAAACCACTCCAGGGGTGGGAACTGCACCACTGCACCACTGCCCTGGATGGCCTGTGCCAGGGCCTGACAACCCTTTCAGTCAAAAAATTTTTCCTAATATCTGATCTAAAACTCCCCTGGTACAACTCCGGGCCATTTCCTCTTGTCCTTCCTTTTCTTTGGAGGCATCCATTGCTCCCAATGCTCTGCAAAGGGAATTCCAGAATTATTTGGTGCTTCCCAGCAAAGCTCAAGCCCTTGAAAACATCAGTATTGCAAAACTTCTTCAAATTTCTCCAGGATTAAGTTTTTTGCTGCCTGATGCAGAGGCTCAGTCCAGGGCAAGACAAAACTTAGCCCTGACTCATTGCTGGGGCAAAAAAAAGCCAAGGAGACAAACTCAGAGGTGCCTGTGTCAGTCTGGCTGCCTGAGAGCTCCCACCAATCCAAGGAGCTTTTGGGAGAGGATGGAGAGGGCTTTGCCATCTAAACAAGTTTTCTTTGCTTATTGGCTTCCACCTGAGTGATTCCTCCTAGGGGTTTGGGGGTTTTATATTAAATGAACTAAATAATTTTGCTGTGTGAGATCCCTGTCGTACCTGGCAGAGAAAAGATTCTGAGCTGATGTCATCAGTGGGATTTTTTTGGGAGTGTTTCATATCTGGTTTTCATTTATTAACTAGATCAGAAAGCATAAATTAGTAATAATTATACTCTCTCTCTTAAAACTGTGATGCAGCCCCCTTTCATGCACATGTGGATCTTAAAGGCTAAATGAAAAGTTTACTAGAAAAACACAATTTCCTAAGGGAGGAATGTTAAGGCTCCTGTCATCTTGCAAACATTTAAAGCATGGGTGAGTTTTGGTTCAGGTGAAAGATCCACTGGTGAATGAACCCAAATTAATCTTTCTCATAGCAAGGCAGTAGAGGAGCAAATTACATACATTACAGTCAAATTTATTTTTGACTTGGTCCAATATGTGTTACACTTAAATGAATGCTGGAATAACAGATATTTGTTTTTAATCCCACATAAGCTGCAGATCTCACCCTGAGTGCACTCTTTGTATACTGACATACACAAGTACTTGTTATTTCAGCAAATAATATATATGTTAATATCCAGAAATTATATTAAGCAATAATTAGAATAATATATTTTAAAAAACAATTTTATTGTTTATATAAACCAGAAATTTAACACATTGCTATTTTTGGCTTATTTAAATCTAGGGAAATAGGGGCAAAAAATACTTTTGCTACATGGATGCAGTTTTTTTAATTCCTAGAAGGTTTTTTTGGGATTTCCTTGCTGTTTCTGGGACATATCTGATTTTATACAGTGACAGAAAAAGACACTTAGAAAATCCCATTTAACAGATCTGACCTGAATGCTTAGAAGTCCTGCTGAGAATTTCTCCTCCCAGGACAACATATTTAATAAACAGCTGCAGTGCACAGAGCTGTTCTAGGCAAGGATAAATCCAAAGGAATTTAAACAGCACCCGTGGATAATGTATCTCCTTTCTTTTTGCACACATTTCAAGTTGATTAATTTAACAGAGATATTATCCAGCCTTTCTCTGTTATTGTGCTTTACTCAGCAGTTTATGACTGAAATTTTTTTTTTTTTATATGTTAGGAGCTTTAAACTCAGACACAACTTTACTCTCATGTCAATAATTTGCTTTCAGTTAAATGTTTTCGATTGCACCTGATTTGATTTACTTTTTTGTATCATAAAAACACAGACCACCCACATAAAAATGACTGAGCAGCTTAAAACAATAAAGAAAAATCTAGCATTTCCAAATTCGATTAACAACTGAGATATTCTGTAAAGACTGGCCATTTTTAAAAAATGCATTTACAGAACTTTAACAAAACCATGAAGAATATTTACTGCAATGCCTGAAGTATCTGTGTTTCTGCTCTGTATCTATCCTTTGAATATTTTAATGCTTTCAACATCTGCACTGTTTATTGAGAGAATAACTGGATTATATTTTATAATATAGAATACATATTCTGTATTTTCTTTGTATAGAATCTATATATTATATATATTATATATATGTTCTATAACATGTTCTATATAGAATAGATATAGATATACTATAAAATAGAAAAGAAATAATAGTAATAGTAAACCAGACTATTGCAACATGTAATTTTTGATCTCTTTACAATTTCTTGCCCAATGATTTGTGGGGCTGAGCACAACATAGGTGAAGTTTTGTTCTTGAGCCCATACATCTGCAAAACCCTTCTTGTCCTTTTGTCCAAATTTTGTGGTGTCTCCTTTTTGTCATTTAAGAGGAAATAGTTTATTTACATTTGAAGCAGGGCATTTGGGCTATATGCATAAAATCCCATTATTTTTCTTTCTGTTCCTTGCTGCAGGAAGGATCGTGACAGTGGGAGACAGGAGAAGGCTGATCCATCATTGGAAGGAATCAAGGAATAAATTAGGGACCCTCATGTGCCAGGACATGGTGGCAGAAGTGACACTAATGGACAATGCTGTCACCTGGATCTCTCTCTCTCTCCATGATGCAGGGACCATGCTGTTAGCAGAGATGCACAGAAATACTTTCCCATTAATATTCAAGTTGGAAACACCATTCCACGACAGAACACGGCATCCCTGACCCTTGGCTGGCACCATCACTGTGCTCTCAGCAAAGAAGTTGCAGATATCAGGGAATGGGGATAATTTTTTTAATATCTTTTCATTAGTGTTTCTGTTTTGTGCTTATTTACGCTCTGGGAAAAAAGTCTACGAAACGAGAATCTATTTTTATCCATCGGCTCTCACAATTGTGAAACCTGCTGCTAAAATCTCTCCCAGTTTTACTGTATAAAACACTATTGATGACTACAGAAATTACTATTATTTTTTCATAATTTCTACTGGTAAACTGCCCAAACCTGTGTTTCAACAGGCCAGACAACATCTTTGGATGTCACTGTCCTCTCCTGTTTCCACTGCACACAGGTGATGTAGAGTCTGTGTGGGTTTTGGTTTTGCTTTTCTTTTTTTTTCACATACAAAGGGAAAGTGAAGACTAATTGGGAAATTCAGACACTGAGCAAATTCTTTGCTGTGGGGGAGCAGAGAGCTGAGGGGGAAATCCCTATCCTTTGTGCTTGTGTTATTGGGATTGGGCTATAAGGAATAAACCTTTGCCCATGGGAAGTATCAAAGGGATTTTCTTACAGTTGTCGTGAAAAATGTACATATCATAAAAACCATCTTCTTCTGGGGCAAAGCTCTGCTCACTACTGGCAGGGTAGGAAAATGATGGTTTTAGTTAATGTGAGCTCTCACAGAGGAGAAATGGTGATTTATGGGGATCAGAGATCCTCAGAGTCTCCTTCCTGCTCTGCCTGTGGTGGGATGGGGTCTCTTGCTTGTGTCCCCACAGGCTGGGTGGCCTGAGAGCTTGGGTGAGTGTCACAGCCTGGGAAAGCTGGCTCAGCATGACCCACTGCATCATTTAGGGGAGGCACCAACAGCTGGGCTCAAGACCAAGCTCTACAGAAAAATCAGTACTAAAGTGGAAAGCAGCAGCACCCTGTGGCTGGGAGGGAGGGGGAGGCCAGAGTGATGCTGCTCTGCCACTGCGATGCCCTGCACCCACAAGTTCATCCCAAGACTGTGCTAGCCCCAACCCTGGGGACTCTGACTCACCTTCCCCTTGTCCTCACTGTAGCTGACACAGTGCTGGTGCCTGTGTGTGACCAGATGTGGGCCTGGAGGTGCATCTGAGAGTGAGTGCTCGCTGCCTGTGCTCAGCAGGATGCCAGATTTCCAGCCCCAGCTCTGCCTTGGCACCCTGGGCAGAAGCTGAGCCTTGTTAACACCCCTTGGGAGACCTTCCCTGCTTCTGGCATCACTCAAAGCTCAGCACACATGGGCATTGCTTGGGGCTCAGCATGCAGGGATGTCACACAGGGGTCAGGACACAGGGGTCACTTGGGGCTCAGCACACCCAGGCATCACTCACTGGCCATGCTGTGCTGCTGGGCTCGGGGCCAGCCCCTGAGGGCCTCTGTTTGCTCTCAGAGGTGGTGTTGACCTTCAGGCTGTGCCAAGTGTTTGGCCTTGTGTGCATGGCTTTGTCTGGTTTTCCTCTCCCCATCCTGGGTGTTTGCAGTCTCCCATGGGAGAAGGCACCCTCCCAGATCTGCTCACCCCTGGAGCTTTCGCTCTGCCTTAACTCTTTCTTGGTTGGAGGCCATGGTTCCTTGCTTGCCACACAACCGTGTCCCTCACTGAGCAGTACCAAAAGACACCAAACTGGGGAACAAAATAACTGAGTGATACATTCACTTTTGGTATTGAATAAACCTGCACAGGATCTTTACAAGTTTCGTCTTCACCATCCCTGCTGGTTGCTCTCAGTGGTCGTTTTTATCAAATCAAATTTTTATCAACCAGTATTAACAGGGGCAAAAAAAGCACCTTTGTGCTGTCCTACAGATGAACAGAGGAGACCCAAGGAACTCACAGCTTTCCAGCCCACCTGAATCCCTTTGGTGCACCAGACCCTTCCCCCTGTGCAGAGCCAGCTGTGGCATTTGCCCTGCTCACTTTCCTTTGAGAAATGCTCAGGATGCTGCAGAATCCAGCTTGGTCCTTTTGCCAGCTGTTGTGCCAAGGAAAATGTTGAAGTCATGGTCTGTTGCAGGAAAGAAATGTCTGTTTTGTGGTAGAAGCCCATGTCTGTCCGCTGCCTGGGACAGCCTCACGCTCAGCCTTGTGCAGGGGAGGCTCCGTGGCTCCTCCCTGTCCGAGGCAGGGGGTCAGTGGGATTTACTGGGATTTACTGGGATTTACTGCCTGTGGATGCGAAGCCACAGCCTCCGCCGCAGACCTGGGAAGAGACAGTGTCCGTCAGTGGCAGGAGTCCCTCCCGGCTCACCCCCTGTCCTGGGCTGTCCCAGGGCCCGGCACCCCTCAGGGTGGTGGCGGGATACTCACGGTGGAGGCGGAGGGCAGCGGGCACCAGGCCCAGCAGGAGGAGCAGGACACCCGCGGCCAGGGGGATCCAGACCAGGGGACTGCAGGGACCTGGGAGAGGAGAGGACTCAGCAGCTGGCACCACCCTGCCCCAGCAACTTTGGGGGATGGAGTGTGGGGTGGGGAAGGGAGAGAGGCAAGGCAGCTCCTCAGAGGAGCGGTGGAGGATGTGACCGTCACCCTGGGGTATCCTCTGAAGGATGCACTACAGAATCACAGAATCACAGAATCACAGAATGGGTAAAGTTGGAAGAGACCACAGTGGGTCACTTGGTCCAACCTCCCTGCTCAAGCAGGCTCACCCCAGAGGACATGGCACAGGACTGTGTCCAGATGGCTTTTGCATATTTTTGATAAGGGAGACTCCACGGCCTCTCTGGGCAGCCTGTTTTGGTGCTCATTCCCCCTCACAGTAAAAAAGGCATGGCAGGGAGCTTAGCTCTGAGGTCACGATAACCTAAACTGAAATACATCCTGGCCCCCAAACCTGTGGGTATTCCAGGGAATCCCTCCTACAGGCAGAAGTCAGCTCTGCCCAGAGCAGTGGGTTTATCTGGACCCAGACACCCACTCCTGCAGGGTGACATTGTGGTGGCCCCCACCCCAGGACAAACTCCAGCTGAGCCCTGAGGACCCCAAGAGCTCAGCAAACCCCTTTATCCAGGCAGCCTGAGCTGGGGCAGTGCCATACCTGTCCTGCTGGCAGCTTTGCTTTTGGTTATCCGCGGCACGGGCTTTTTGGACACTGGTGTCTGTGTGGTCTTTGGAGGCAGAGGTAAAGTGTCAGCTGTGGGATAAGGAGGAAGAGGACGGTCAGTGGGGCACTGAAGCTGGGGGATAAGGAGGAAGAGGATGGTCAGTGAAGCACTGAGTGCAACAGAGATCTCCAAAGGCAGGCAAGAGGGGCTGTAAATTTTAGCGCTCGGAACAAGCCCCATCCAGTGACCCCAGCAAAGGGCTGTGTCACTCACAGGGGTGAACTTAACCTGAGCCTCTTGGGGGTCACAGAAATTACCAAGAGCTTTTAAAAGTGTTAATAAAAAATGTACCAGGTAAAGAAGGGGAGAAGGCTAATGCAGGGAAAACCCCCAAAGTTGCTTGAGTGACATTTGCTGCCAAGCATCGTCTCACCAGCATTGCACAAAGTCATGGCTAGCGGGAGATTTCAGCGGCACTGCAATGTTTTAAGGGATCTCTGGATCTTTTCCTTGTTCACATTGCTCTAATCTTTGCTCAACATTTGATTTATTTTTTTTTCCTGATAAAATGAGGGCAGGATTTGTTATGGTGTATCTGAATTACAACAGAACACATTCATTTCTGAATAAAGTTGGCCAGGAAAATATGCCAGTAATGTCATTAAATAGCTGCATGTCTGACTGCTCAAACCATATTTATTAAAAAATTTATGTGATTGAAAACTATTTTATTTTTCAGTTTCCAGGATGTAAATTCCTACAGAAACAACCATTCTTTTACATGAAAAGATGAGGTATCAGGGCTTTGGGATTTATCTGGACAACTTCTCCCTTACATTATAATAGGCTTAGGGAAAAGAAACTTAAAGACAATTTGTTTTATCATGAGAACTAAAAGGAAAAAAGGAAAATATCCAGCAAAGCCAGAGTCCTCCCAGAGCACCTGCTGCTGTTTACTTTTTAATTGGTGTCCTTGATCAAGCCATTTCAAGCCTGTTTTTCATGCTCTGCACAGAGATATGTGCCCAGCTGTTAAAAAACAATTCTCCTTTATCTTAAACCAGCATTTCTCTGAGCCTGCAAGAATCCAAAATGGGATTTCTCATCCCGTTCAAGGTACGGAGTATATTTGCAAAAAAAAACCCAGAAAAACTGGGACACTGGCTCTGCTTTAGAGTCAGAAGCTGTAGCGGCATTTTGGTTAAATAAGTTACTTGTATCTTAGTTAAATAAGTTATTTGTCTCCCTAAAAGTCCACAAAAATAGAGGCTGAATCCCACTTCAAATACATCAGTTTTTCTGCATCAACTACTGCTCTGTGGTCAAAAGGAAAATGGGCTGAAAAGAGCTTCTGTATGACCCAGATGTCTGTAAAGCCTCTCTCCTCCCATGACACCTGCAGAAAAATGTCATTTCTGTTTGGATCTCCCCAGGGATAGTGGGTTGTGAGCTTTGAGGAATAAATTCCATTTCAGTATTTTTTGTGAAGGGTGGTCTTGAAAGCTGCCATCAGATCCACCCCAGAGATGTGAGGGGTGATACTCTCTGGCCTCGCTGCTCTTGTCACTTGGAGTGAGCGTAAGGAAGAATTATGGCATGGAAGGCCCTGTGAGCTGAGCAGGGCACACATCCAGCCTCTCATCCAAAGTACAGCAGGGAGTGAGAAAAACGCAGGCATGGCAATATCAGTTCTTCCCGTGGAAATCTTAAAGCACTAGGACCAATGCTGTGCTCAAGGCGTGCCCACAACAGAGCGACTGCTGATGGCAAAAGGACTATCACATGAAGCTGACCTAAATTTCAGCTATTTTCTGCATTTTCTGCTTTATCCAGTTGTAAGTAACCTTACAACTCAAAACTGGGGAAAAAACTT